AGGGGCCTTAGGCAGATGTGGGGCCCAGAGAAATATTCAGAGCTATTGAGGGTGCCAAAGGGAGATGCTTGATCAGCGTGAGGCTTTGCTCAGCTCTGTTTGTCTGCAGATGTGCTCAGGCTTAGACTAGGGCTTAGTGCTGGCTCCGATTCCTTCTAATGCTTGGGCACAGTTTTTTTTTTCCTCTTAGACTTCCTATGAGGGCTTTTTGATGTGTCTTTACCTATAGATCTTTTTCTTTTTTGGGGCCTCATCCTAGGTCTGGATAATGGGCTACATCAAATCAGTCATAGCCCAGGGTTTCTCCGTGTAGGAGGGAGTACGATTTTTCCAGCTTATGTGCTCAATGGTGGAGAAAGGCTGGCACACAAAACTGCCTTGTCTCTCTCAGATGTTTCCCTTCTGGTCAACATGGGTAGGTCCTTTAGTTCCTTGTAGGGGAATCTGGAGAGTTCTCATCTGGGTTGTGGCTCTGGTCTTGGGACAAATCTCCCACCTTAATCGTGGGAGGTGAAAGAGTCTTTGGTTCTAGGAAGACTTTGGCTCTGAGGACATCATAGCCCAACCTCTAGGGAAAATCAACATACCAATAACAATGTCTTGTGTACTCTGGTGTCAGATTCTATTTTGCCTCTCCAGTTTTACATTTCTTATTTGCATTTTTCCCAAAGAGGGTTTCACTTATTTCATTATAAAATTAGTTTTACATTTAAAAAAGTTATAATATAACTTCATCCTGCCTATTTTCTGTTGGTTTGTCTTTTTAAGCTACGTAGTAGGCTATCTTGACAGAAACAACTCCATAACTGTACTTTCTATATTTACATAGGGGATTCRAAGGACCATGTGAAAAATTAATATTCAAGGATTGGAAAGGAAGTCAATGAGGAATGAATGAGGATAGACTGAATGGATAGAAGGGAGTAAGAAGACAGAGATGAGGCCCTGGGAGCTGAGATAAAAACTAAGTAAAGAATCACTGTGAAAAATGTGGGAAATGAGAAGGAAAGAGAGAGAGAAGCAAGAGAGGGAAAGAAAATACATGGATGGGTAGAGATGTGAGCACAGCAAGTCACAGAGTATATCAGAGCTACAAGAGATACTAGATAATAATCAATTCAATTCTCTCCAGTCATTTTACATAAAGTATCCTGAGGCCAGAATGATGACAAGGTCTTTGTGATTTAATGCAAGTGTCCCATGCAGGAGAGCACTGTGATTCTCTGTTGGAAGTTCCTTTTACTGTAAGAAATTTTCTGGAGGGGAAAAACACATAAGCCACAAGTAAGGAAGACAGAAAGGGAAGAGAAAAACTTGAGGAAGTGTGGCCAGTGGGGGGGATGAGAAATCCAGTACAAGCAGAAAGTTATAATAGACAGTGGGTTTCTCAGGGAGGAAAACTGAGGTTTGTGTTGGTGAGGTGGGTGACATCAGATGACAGAGAGATCATGGGGGGAGGACAGCTCACATGGGTTCTGGGGAGAGCTGTGTGGGGAAGGAGAAATTGGGGAATTATGAGGGGAGCAAAAATTAGGCATGATAGGAAGAACACAAGCATGCTTGTAGCCTAAGCAACAATGCTTCCAGAAGAGAAATCCCAAGGGAAGATCTGTGATAAAGGAAGAATCCTGCATTCCCCTAGGATAGCTGAGACAGCCTGCCTGGCTGAGTTCTAATTGGCATATATCTTACTCAACCTGGCTTTTTCTAATCTTTTCCTTTGATCACAGAACACACAACTATTAGTGATCCACATAATTACCTTCTCTCTCAAAGATGTTCTCTCTTTTTCTGGTCCTGGTCATTTCTGTCTATTTTATCTCTTGACTTTTTTCCTATACTCCTGCTCATTCTCAACTTGACCAGCTCTCAGCATGCCCTAGAGAACTCCCATTTGTCTCCATCCTTTTCCCTCTCCTCCTTCAGAACTTGTCTTTCACCCACCAGAGCTGACTGCACACTCATGGGTGGAGTGGACTAGGAAGATGCAGATCCACAGTGGGATTTCAACTCAAGCACCAGTTACTGCCTGCATCTCTGATCAAGATCCACTCTGCTGGACGAAAATTGAGGAATCTTGGAATCCTGCTCCATTTCTTTTTATTATCTACTCCTTTCATTTTTTCCCTTGTTATGGTTTAGATATTAGGTGTTTCCCAAGAGCTCATGTGTAAGACAATGCAATAAGGTTTGGAAGTGAAGTGATTGGGGTATGAGAACCTTAACCCAATCCACAAAATCCCCCGATGGGGATTAACTGAGTGATAATCATAGTTTGGTAGGGTGTGGCTGGGAAGCCAGGTTCCTGGGGACATCCCTTTGGAGTATATATTTTGTCCTTAATGAGTGGATCTCTCTCTCTTCCTCTTGGTGACCATGTCCAGAGCTGTTTTTCTCTGTTGTACTCTTCTACCATAAAGTTCTGCCTTATCCTGGTCTCTGAGGAGTGGATTTGGCTATCTATGACTATAAGGTCCGAAACTGTGAGTTCCCAAAGAAACTTTTCCTCATTAAAATTGTTCTTGTCCAGTCCTTTGTTCACAGTAGCAAAAAACAAAACAAAACAAAACAAAAAAACAACCTGACTAAACACTTCTCCTTCTTCTCTAGTATCTTTACACCCTTAACGTGTCTCTTATCAGATCACAACATTTTGGTCTCAGAACCTCATTCCTTACCTAGTTAATTTTCTTTTCTCTCTTACTACCCACAACCAACTGTCCTCTCCTCTCTTTCTTCACCCCACACTCAGGAGCAACAGTCATATGTTTTGTGGGGTCCAGGTAAAAATGAAAATGTGAAGCCTTGTCTTAGCTATTCAGGCTGCTATCAGAGAATGCCACAGGCAGAGAAGTTTATAAACACTAGAAACTTATTTCTCACACTTTTGGAGGCTGGATAGTCCAAGATCAAAGTAGATTTGTTTTCTAGTGGGACCTACATATTGGTGCATTAAAAGTACCTTCAGGATGTGTCTTTGCATGGTGAAAGGCTTATGGGCTCCCTCTAATATCCTATTTATAAGGCACTAATAAATCTCACTTCTGAGGGTTGAAACTGCATGATCTAATCACCTCCCAAAGAACCCACCTCCTAATACCAACACCTGGATGGATAGAGAATCCCCTTATATGAATTTGGGGAAGACATAGTGATTCATATCATAGCTATTTTGTGTTCAAAAAGCTTTTAAAGTCATTAAAATACAAACCTTTTTCATATCTATGGGAGGTTATGTCTCTGTTTTTATTTCATTTGGTCACAGGGATACTCATGAGATGATTAAAGGGACTCTTACACACCTGGGGGCCCCACTTTATAACTACATGCAGGTTGCCCACTTGCTACCAGGTTCCTGCTGACCCCTGCTTCTCAAATGATCCTTGCCCCTGCTGGACTGAATGGGGAAGTTAACTCCCCTTCCCAAAGTAGTTGCTCCAGCACTTGGCACAAGGGTGACCACAGAGAAATTGCAACCAAATTACCTGGAGATGTATGTGATACTAGAAACAAGAATGGGCATGAGGCTCACTCTGACCAGTTACAAAACAAGTTGGTACAGACTTTGAATGGGATGGATGCACCTGTATTCTGCCCATATACTATCAGGTGCATGTCCTGCTCTCCCTGCCAAGCAGGAGACAGTGGCAGATGCTGAAGGCAGAAGGGGCCTGAAGTTCTAAATAGACCTGGACACTGCATTTGTGGGAGTCTGGAGGTGGATAGGCAGAGTCTAGAATTGACAAAGCCCCAGACAGCAGACAGCGAGGAGCAGGTAGGTGGCAGAGATCTGCATACATAGGTGAGGTTGTGAATGGAAGAACCCTACATAAGCTGCAGGGGCTCCTGTGAGCTCCAAACAAGTTTCATTGAACTTCACTTATCAAACAGAAATTCAATAAAATTACTATAAAATTCAAGGTGGTGATCAGGGAACATTAAATGTGTTACTGAACTGGTTTCATGCCCCTTTGAGCAGCCCTGAATACACAATCCACAGACTCATTGGTTGATACTTGTGTAGAGAACAATCATAGAGGATTCTGAAAAGAGTAAAAGTAACCAGTGATGTCAGAAATATGGATCTGGTGGAGTGGGGGATGGGGTAGGGAAGAGAGCACCTTGGGGGATAGTTCAAAATTATTCAAATAACAGAAAATGCATAAGATCCTAGGTTCAGTACCCAGCAATGAAGAARTGCCTCTAGTGATAAAGTGAGTTTTCAGTGCCACATAAGCATTGTTCCATAAYAGTTGAAATAGGCGAAGATGAACAGAATGAAAGTTTGTGACAATGAGAGAAGTTGGGAGACTGAGGAGAGAGTGTGTTGGGAGTGTCCACTGAATTACAGGTTCTGAACTCTCCTGTGACAGAGGCTGATGTCCCTCTGGAATACTCCTGGGGTGAAGGCTCTGATTGAGATAGCTCAGTTGCTGAGGTTCTGTGCTAGCCTCAGAGCTACATGTTCTTGACCTTGAGCATCAGATGCCAGCTGCTCAGGGGTAGAAATTTTATGGGAGCAACCTGATAACTATAAATAGGCTGCCCATACTCATAACCTTGGTTCTACTTGTTTTGAGAAACTTTCCCACAATAACCCCTTTAATGAAAAAAAAATATATATATATATATAATAAATGTGTTGAGCTTGTTAATGGTCGGTCTTCTTCCATCAAAGTTGGCTGATCCACTGAACCCAATTATTTATTTCTATATTTTTGTCTCCTTATCTTTTCTCAATTCCCTCACTACCCATTCTAGGTAGCCCTGAATAAACTGTTGCACAGGATGTGACAAGAGTCGGATTAACAGGGAAAGGGGAAACTGAGTAGGTGGTCAGGTTTGGGGTGGAAGCAGATTTTCTTTGTTGCAGGTAGGAGAAGTTTTTCTTTTGGTTGAATAAGGAAGTCAGAAAAGAGGTCTGTGGGTGTAGGTTTGTTTAGAGCAGAAATCAAAGGCCAAGTTCTCTCTGAGAGAAAGAAATATCATTTGTAACTGCCATGCTGTTTCTGCTACTTCTGTTGCTAGCTGCTCTAATCCCAGGCAGTGACAGTGAAATTGGTAAGAACTGGGGAAACTGATTAGTGTGTGTGTGTGTGTGTGTGTGTGTGTGTGTGTGTGTGTGTGTTGATGGTAGTTTCCCCTGCACACACCTGGAAAGAACAAGTGCCAAGCTGGCCCCATTCTGCATTTCCTTACTCAAGCCCTCTGTAGTCTCATGGAGGCTGTTGGTAGAGCATGGGACCCTGGGGGCCAGCAGATGTCAGCTAAGGTAACTGTGGCTCTCCAATTTTCCAGATTCTGAGTCTTCCTACCGGGGCACCTACTTTCCCATGTTTTGTCCTTCCAATGTTCCATTTATCCCCATTTTATCTACCTTTTTTGCCACAGGGTTTGAAGAGCCTGTCTCCTACCATGTCATCAGGATATCAACCTTTCACAACCATTCCTGGGTACATGTGGGCTCAGGCTGGTTGGGGGAGCTGCAGACTCACAGCTGGAACAGCAGCTCTGGTACCTTCATTTTCCTGTATCCCTGGTCCAGGGGCAACTTCAGTAACAGGGAGTTGGTGGATCTGGAAAGGTTTTTCCGAGTACACATCATTGAAGTTCAGGAATTTTTCATGGATCACTTGATGTCTGAATGTGAGTTCAGTTCCCTTGTTGGGGAGAAGAAAGGGAGGAGGGGCAGGGGTCTCAGTGACTTTTCATTCCTTTTGGAAAGACTACTCTGTGTTCTGAATCTTACTCCATGTTCTTCAGCATAAAACTGCAACCACACACTGTGCATGTGCTATAAATGGGATACATATTCTTCAAAAACTTTAGTTTTTGCAATTTATGAACTGCTCTCTCATTGACTGCAGGACTATGTGTTATTATCTCTCCTTAGAAACATATTTGGGCCATGTTTTTCCCCACACTTCAATAATACTCTCAGCTTCCCTACTCTTTGTGTGACTTTTCTCTCTCATTTAATCTTCAGTCATTCCTGTCTGAACTGTCACAGTAACCATGGATACATTCACCAGGTTAGTTAGAGTCTTTGCTCTCTCACATTAAGACCTTCACCCCCCCACACACACACACCTTCCCTATCACCTTTGAGCAATCCCCTCCCTTCCTCATATTATCATCTCTTCCTCCACCTCCAGCTCCTACCAGTTCTCCTTTCTGTGAATCTCAGATCAAACCACACTGTGGTCCACCCCTAAACTCCCCAAACTCCCTTCTGYTTTTATAGTCTTTTGCTTCCACTCATTCCATTTTCTTCCATTTTTCCTCTAATTCATTACTTCTCTTTCCCAGATCCTGGAGATCAAGTTGATCTGCAGATGGCAGCAGGCTGTGAWCTSCACTCTGGGAAGGGCTTCATAAGCTTCGTGCATGTAGCTATCCAAGGATCTGATTTCATGAGCTTCCAGAATAAAACATGGTCACCATCTCCCAAGGGTGGAAGAAAGGCCTGGAAAGCCTGCAAAGCACTCAATCTCAGACAAGGCAGGACAGAGAGGGATCATAGACTTCTCAGTGTCACCTGTCCACGTTTTGCCTTGGGTCTTTTTGATGCGGGGAAGGCTCATCTCCAGCGACAAGGTCAGTCTTGTAGCCCATCTCAAAGAATTTTTTTTAAAGTCAAATTTAGGATAAAAAGAGATGAGGATACCGAGTGACATTTCCTGAAGGGGGAAGTATATATCCATGTAGTCTCATGTGGAGTTCTGAGCCTCTCAGTGTATGTTAGAGTCTGTGTCTGGATGTCTTTTCTGTCCTTTGCAGTGAAGCCTAAGGCCTGGCTGTCCAGTGGCCCCAGCCCTGGGCCTGGCCATCTGCTGCTGGTGTGCCATGTGTCTGGCTTCTACCCAAAGCCCGTGTGGGTGATGTGGATGTGAGGTGAGCAGGAGCAGCAGGGCACTCAGAGAGGTGACATCCTGCCCAATGGTGATGGGACGTGGTATCTCCGAGCAACCC